GCCACAAGAATTTTCTCCTTGCTCAAACTATTTTCATCCGTTGGGAAATTTAAAGTTGAATTAACATCCTAGGCAACGACGTGCACAATCATAGAGTTAACTAATTTCCTGGCTTATTGCCTTATTTACTCTGGTCAATTTTTATGATGCAAATTCACTTTTTATCTCGTATCCGTAGATTATGTGGACTTTTTATGATGCAACATATATTTTGCCCTTTTTTATGATGGATTGACTCCTATTTTATCATCAAAGGAACATCCACTTACTCTACAGCAATGACTAAACCTCTAAGTTGGTTTTTCCACATTTTTTTCTGACCTTACTTAGCTCTAAATGTACTTTAGCCATTATCTTCAATCAGGCTATTTTTATTTGCCTTCTCACTAACTTTCTCGTATGCACGCTATTTTTTAAGTTTTTTTTATTTCTCCTACTATCGACACTACGCACAAACATACGCACAGGCATGTGCGGAAACTTTGTGCCATTTTGTACTCTGGTACTTCTATTTTGTTTATTCGAGATAACTCTAGTACCTTGACTCCCCTTTTAATAGTAATAATTTTGGGATAATCTTTTATTGATCCTAGTCAAATTGTTATCCATCTCGACCAAAAAAGAACACAACTTTATTCTGCATCGATTCCTACCGAAGACATAGGCTTTAGCCAGTAGCAACGGACAATCATTTTCTCTTTTAACACTTGTATCGGTCTGAAGGCTACTGCCATTTTGGAATATTCATTTTAATAGCCTATTGAAATTTAATCCAAAATATCTTCCTATCTATTCAGCTTCTCCGACTCACAACTTGTTTCTCTTATTTCGCGCCAACTTGCGAAATCAATTCTAACAAAAAGTTGCGATTTTTTCCGACCTTGTATATCATCTTTAGTCATTTGTTTCCTTAATTCTGGCCTCAAGACTCATGAAACATTTTGTCTTATGCCATTTTCTTGTGTGTTAGTTCACTTTTCTCCACAATAGGATAACAAAGTTTCTTTCAACTCGATTTAATGGAGAGCTGAAATTTCACACTAATCCTGCTATTATATTCGGAGTATCAGTTTATTTTTGAACACTGCTTTTATAACTTCCAGTCAAGTCAACTCAATGATGCAAAGACGTCCCATTCTTACCTCTCCTATAGACTAATCTGTGAGTTTTTCTTTCAACTGTTAAAATAGAACGAGCACTAAAAACATATAATGTGTGGTGTTTTGCCTATTGACTCTGAAGGCTTACGCCTTTATATGTGCCTGTCTTAAATAGATTAAATTCAATTCACACTTTGCGACATGGAAAATTTCTTTTTCTTTGCACACCTGTCTACTTTAACACTAATCTGGCGCTTCAACCCACTCAAACAAACTTGTCTGGTGTTAACAACCCTTTTTTCCTTCTCTTTTCTCTTTTACAAAAGTATGTTTATCTTTATTTTAGCTTACATTAGTCTTTTTTATATTTTTACTCAAGCTTCATGTATCTCGGTGGTATTCATTTTAGCCTCATACCACCATCCCCTATACAGTTCCTCCTTAGCGCATTACTATTCTTGTTTCTTCAACTTTAAAGTTATGCGTTTCCACATGAGCAAGGAACACGCGATGTCTGGTTCCAGCACTTGGGCTTATTTCATACTGAAGCTTTTTGTTGTCCGTATCCTCGTTACTCCATCAATCCCACTGAACTCTGGTTTCTATTGATCGTTGACAAAGTGGCGGGACAAACCATGGTACTAGGCCGTCTCCATGGCTTTACTCCCTCCAAACGCGCTCTCTTTCATTCCCTCTATCTCTCTCTCTCTCTCTCTCTCTCACCTTGCCCCAGTTCAAGTCATCTCTTACATTCTCCTGTTGTGTCTGGTCCGGTACTCATCAGAAGCCTATACCCATCGATTTTCTCTATCACTACCGGCCCCGTTGTTCGGATGATTGCTGTATTTCATTCTTTCTTTCATTCGTACACTCCTCTCTTTGTTCCTCTCCTCGTCCTTGACACGTGTCCGAGTTGATCGCCTCCCTCTCTTTAACAGGATTGGCGCTAACCAACAGAGCAGCCGGTCACCAGAGCTCGGCTTAGGGCCGCCGAGCTCTGGCCCCCCTCCACCTGACGATCTGTCTGTTGAGAGTCGCCGCCGTCGCTCCTCTTTGCTATTGCCCTACTGAAATACAGCCTGATTAATCCTATATATATATATATATATATATTTATATTTATACATACATACATACACATACATCAAAACACATATTTATGCATCAGTTTTTCGACCTCGTTCGCTCAGTTGAGCCTCACCTTGCTGCCTACTCGGCTGAATCCATGTGCTTTTCATGATTTGTGGTGTTGTGTGTCTTTTTTTATTTTTCAGCTTTCCTCTGCTTTTATCCTTCTTCTTCTTGCTGATGCGTGTGTATATCGCTTGTTGTTGAGTCGCTTCCAGCCGCATTGACTCCGTGGGCCTCGGTCAGCCTCGCCTCTGGATGCATCGAGGTTCACGGCGTCGGCATCACCGGCTGCCACTTGCAGACCGACAGACAGGCAAACACACAAACACACAAACAGAACCAATGATGTCGAGAGACCACTTAAATCTGTCTGCATGTCTGCATTATTGTGCCGCCGCCTCTGCTTTGTCCGCCCTATGCACATGTCTCTCGCGGTATCACGTTCTCGAGGTCTCTGGGTCTCAGGGTCTCACGAGACTTTCCGCATCGCCACGTCTCTCTGCCGCCTCACTCTTGATTACGTTTCCCATCTGTCCGGTTGCCTAGCCACGAAGCGGTGTGTTACCGTGTAGCCCTTGTTTATCGATTTCAACCTGCCCTCGCCATAGAGGTTATCTTCTCGCAATTGTTGAGCCTGCTGGTCCTCATGGCGATGCACACATGCAGGGGCGAAAGAGAGATAGATAGAGATAAAGAGAGAGAGAGAGAGAGAGATATTGAGAGAGAACGAATCGCCGTTTTCCTTTTTCCTTGTGGACAGCCTCACTTTCGCGCTTGGTTGTCTCGCCTGCGCACAGGCTCCGTGAACACGCCGTTTGCCCTAGGCTTGGCCGGTCGGGCAGACGCGATTGGGCTCGACAGACATCCGAACCCTTCTACGCCCTGCTGCTTCTGCTGCTTACTTCCGGCCTCTGGTCCAGTCATCCTCATCGACACCAACAGCAGCCCACACCTCAACATGGGTAACTAAGCACACATGCGCATACACACACACACACATAGACACAGACGCCGGCAACCATGGTAGCCCCGAGGTATGTCTTCGTCGACGTTACAGGCGTCGTCCAGGTCGACTCCACTCAGGTCTAAACAGATTCCCTCCATGCATCATCCCAAGTCTCTGTTGTCCACCCCTTTCGACATAATCCTATTCCCACTTTGGTCTATCAATCGACACGAATGTGTGTGTATACTTATTTTTCCATTCATACATCGCCGGTTTCCATTGACCTTGGTCCCATTTTCGTCGTCAATCGGGCCAGTTTATCTCTCTTTGCACCTGTCGTTCCAGGTCTTTCTTATTCTCTCTCTTTCTTTCCCTTTCTCTCTCTCTCTCTCTGTCTCTTCTCTCCTTTCGTCTAACTTTTGCGTTCACGCGCTCTCTGACGCGTCTATCAGCCTCGTGATGGTTATCGAAAATCAATGGGATCCACAACACGCGTTCGGGACAGGTCTTTTCCCCCCGTTATGCCTTGGATACCTTTCCTTCTCCCTACCTATCGGCTCGGGCAGCCTGCCAGCTTGCCAGCTTGCCATTTCTCTGGGTTTGACTCGTCTGAACACTTTATTCTCCCCTGCAGGCCGCATCTCTGGCCGGCTGGCAAGACGGTTTTCAGCCGGCCAGAGCTGGCTACAGCCTTCGCCATCTTGCCGGTTGTAATCTCTTGAAAATGTCCTCTTCTTCTAGTCCCGGCTTTCCATTCTCGCCAGTTGGAAGCCCCCGGCACAGACGCGATGAATCGGTCTTTATGTCTCGCCCACTTTCGACATTTCGATGCTTCGACAACTGTACAATTGCCAACCCGTAGATAGGCTTCCTCCAGTTATTTCTCGTATGTTAGTAGAGTTTCGGGACTACCAGTAAATCAGCTATATGATTTCATTTAAGGTGATCCAGTTAGTCCAGTCAACCCCCGCATCGGCGGCCATCCAATACTCTTTGTCATTCTCAAAAGCCACCTGATAGCGCTTCCGTTTCCAGCGTTTGCCTCGCAACGAGTTGTCTGGCGTCCGGACCAAGTTGCCGGCTAGACATCCAAAAATCGGGTTTATACATATACATATACACACACACA